TCTGTGATTGCTATTGGCTAAGAGGTACCCTAGAACGTTAGCTGGTACCATATGATGTCACAATGTCGGTGTGTGTGTGTGTGTGTATTTGTTAGTGGCTCCCCCCTCTCGTTCTGCTCGGTAACAGCATTTGTTGCATTTTTCAAACAGGAAGTGGGAGTGGAGTAATACTCTGGTAGGGGGTGACTTGCTCCTTCAACAAACAGAGCAAACGTTTTTTGTGTGATATGCTTGTCAGCCACTAGATGGTGCCATCAGATAAGAGAAATACTCCGGAAAGAAGCTTTAAATAGCTCAGTTTTGATGAAAATTAAACTTTTTTCCTCATCTAACAGTGGGAAATGTTGGTATTTTATCCACTTTGATCAAACAGGGGCCAAATATTGTTCAAACATTATGTATTAATTGTTATTTTGTTATTTAAGGGACAAATAAACTTTGTTTTTATGTCAAGCCATTTTTGTAAACTCTTGCAACAAGCAGAACTTGTTCCATATGATCCTAACCGAGCACTTGGCTCTCAGACTGCAGGTTTACTGGTGGTTCTCAGAATATCTAAAAATAGGATGAGAGGCAGCTCTTTTAGCTATCAGCCTCCTCTCTTGTGGAACCAGCTCCCAGCTTTAGTCCGTGAGGCAGACACCTTGTCTACTTTTAAGACTAGGCTTAAAACATTTTTATTTGATAGGGCCTATGGTTAAAATCTGATGTTAGCCCAGATCTGGACAAGTGGGGGAGTAGAGGGAGGTGGAGAATACAGTCTGTAAAGACAGCTCTCCCTTGCCCTGCCTCCTACATGCCTCCATCTAAAAGGCTAGGTTATCCAGAGTTATCTCTGTAGTTATGCTGCTATAGGCTTAGACTGCTGGAGGACATACTGACCACTTTCCACACTCTACTACTTTCTTCTACAATCTGCTCTTTAACTGTATTATTTCCTGCTATTTCAGCTGTTAAAGGGACTTTACGGAGTTTTGAATTTTTATGCTTGCGATTGCCCCCTCAGGCCAAAACCGTAACGGCAGCTTCAATAGTAGGCTCGTGCACGAGGCACGTGGTATGTGCTAGGGGTTGTATGAACTAGTCGACTAGTCGACTTCACTGCTCTGTAGTGACTTTTTATGCCTTTCAGTGACTAGTCGCTGTCACATGATAATGAGCGACAAGATGCAGTCCTCAGAAAAGACGGCAGGTGACGAGCCCCTGTGCATTGGGAGACAACGCGCTGTGCCAGAGTGTCGGTACTGACGCCCACCGTAAAACGGACATTTAACCAAATTGTGACGTTTACCCTCTTGCAATTTAACCTTCCCCTCACCCCCATCCTAATCTTAACCAGCGTGCACATGCAAAGCTCTGATCGTTGACGCGCTACAGACATCTGCGTCCTGAGCACGGCCACAGTAACATCAAATTAGTTGTCGCCACCTCAAAAACAAATTTAACATGCGATCGTTCATGTCGGCTCATTTCCATTGATGTTTTCAGTCTTTTATTTGTGCCTGATGCGTTTCGCTGCTGTGGAGTGGGGCGCATCACCTGTTTTGTCCTCCAATAACTTCACCTCACTGATGCGGTCGGCGAGCAGCGCGCACTCCGCTGTTTTTGCGGTCGGTAGATCAATTAGAACTGCAGTTCAAAGGTAACTCATAAGGTGAAAATATATGAACCCAGGCAGCAGTTTTCTTTAGGATTGAGAGGAGATGCAGGAAGATAATAAACAGAGACAGGACAGAAAAATAGTCAAATAAAAACAAGCTAGTTTTTTTACCTGGTGGTTGCAACAAACAGACACCACTGAAGGTAATCAGAAGTGAGGAACCAAAAATGAAATAATTATTTTAATGTTTAGAGCAGCAGGAACTCTTGAGAGGGGGGCCCGGAGGACAGAGGAAAGGAGAACGCGCAGCTAATTAATTAAATAATTTGGTTCTGTACCTTTCTCTTCAGCACAGCCGACAAAGGTTTATGATGGGTCAGTCTTCCTGCATGCTCAGATCATGCCCTTCCCTTGCTTGAAAAATTGTTCCAAAATGAAAGTTGAACCCACATCTTTTTTTATCTGTGAATTAAATGCCGTTTGGCGAGTCTCAAATAAAAATTTGGGCATCTTACTGTAAAAAAAATATACCAGAACTATGTTCACATCCAGAATCAAACCCGGTGCTCTTGCATGAGAGTCTGATGTCTTACTCAGTGAGCTAAAGCACCAGTGATGTCCTTTGTAACTGTAATATTTATATCCTTGATGACAGCTGAAACAACGTTCAAAGAACGGTTTGGAGCGAAAATGGCTATTTTGTTGCCAATTTGCTGGAAATATCTAGAAGAAAGTAGTTAAGGGTCCTCAGAAATGTAGCTAGGTTCGTCACTAGGCGTTAGGAACAGCGACAAAGTTGCTGAGTTGGCACTACCTCACTCTCTGCTGCTAAAGCTACTGATAGCAAATGCTACGGGCTATGCCTGAGCGTGAAGGAGCATGAAGCAGCCTGCTCGACCCGAGTAGCTCTCTTTTTCTGTGATTTAACAGAAAAACAGGCAATCACAGTAAAAATGCCAGGGCTCATTCTACAGGACCAGGGCATTGCAGGAGAATGTATGAAGAAGAAATTTATTATTTCTGTACATGTTTTGGCTGTCAAACTTCCATAATGCCCCTTTAAGTTTATTTTTTTCTCTTGTGTTTTTCTCCCCATAAAAAGCTACAATGATTTTCTGCTGAACTGTGGTGCCCTCGTGGAGGGGGCCATTGGCTTGAACACTGTTGCTAACCACTTAAACATTCTCCCTCTCCTGATAATAACATTTTACTTTCTTTGTCATTGAATGTTCTACTACTATTTTACCCATTTAATTATAGATTCACTATGATAAATACAATAATGTTTATCTCTTGCTAAATAGAATATTTACTAAGCAATCACAATGTAACCATAGAAACACTACTTAGTATTAGGGGTTGTAGGAACTAGTCGACCTCCCTGCTCTGTAGTGACTTTTTATGCTTGTCATCGACTAGTCGCTGTCACGTGATAAAGACCGGCAAGATGCAGTCCTCAGAAAAGACAGCAGGTGACGAGCTCCTGCGCGTCGGGAGGCGACGCGCTGCGCCACTGACACCTGCCGTAAAACGGACATTTGACCAAATTGTGACCTTTACCCTATTACAATTCAACCTTCCCCTCACCCCCATCCTAACCTTAACCAGCTTGCGCATGCAAAGCTCTGATTGTTGACGTGCTCCAGACATCTGCGTCCTGAGCACGGCCACAGTAACTTTATCAAATTAGGTGTCGCCACCTCAAAAACAAATTTAACACACGATCGTTCATGTCGGCTCACTTCCTTTTATGTTTTCTGTCTTTTATTTGTGCCTGATGCGTTTCGCTGCTGTGGAGCGGGGCGCATCACCTTGTCCTCCGGTGACGCACCTTACCGGTGCGGCCGGCACACACCCCGCTGTTTTTGAGGTCGGTATATCTTTTAGAGCTGCAGTTCAAAAGTAACTCATAAGGTGAATAAATATGAAGCCATGTCGCAGTTTTTAATTTAGGATTGAGATGAGATGCAGGAAGATAATAAACAGAGACAGGACAGAAAAATAGTCAAATAAAAACAAGTTAGTTTTTGTACCTGGTGGTTGCAACAAATGGACACCATTGAAGGTAATCAGAAGTGGGGAACAGAAAATGAAATAATTATTTTAATGTTTAGAGCAGCAGGAACTCTGAGAGGCTGCAGGCGCGCCAGTAAGTTTGCGGCCGCTGCGCAGGAGGAGGGGGGGAGAGGGCTGAAGCAGAAACTACCATTGTTTAAAAAAAAATTGTTTAACTTTGAAAATGTGGGCGCAATTTTAATTGTCAAAAAAAATAACTTCACTTAACCAACCGACCCTGGTGTCCTTGTCAAGAACATACTTTTCAATTACAAAAGAACTTACAGCAGTAGCTCAGGAGGTAGTTGCGGTTTGTCCAGTAATCAGAAGGTTGCAGGTTCGATTGCTGCTCCCACCAGAGAATTCTGCTGTTGTGTTCTCGTGCAAGACACCTAACCCACCTTGCCCGCTGGTGGTGGTCAGAGGGACCGTTGGCGCCAGTGTTCAGAAGGCCTCGCCTCCGTCAGTGCACCCCAGGGCAGCTGTGGCTACATTGTAGCTCATCCCCGTGTGTGTGTGTGCGTGTGTGTGTGTGTGTGACTGATTGTATTGTGAAGTGCCTTGGGAGGTTGTAGAACCCTAGGAAGGCACTATACAAATACAGGCCATTTACCATTCTCAGTCATCAAACCCTCGTCGGGACTCTTCCTTGAATCTGACTTCACGGATAAGTTTGGAGCTGGGTTTGTTAACTTCATGGGGATGTTGTTTGTATTGGTTTTCTGTCAGACACAGGATGATTAAGGTCATCTGTGTTGCCTGAAGCTTTACCTGAAACTCCAGAACACCTAATGAGAGCTGATCTCTGTCACCAATGTACCTCTGAGCAAGACTGTGATCAGATGTCTCCTCAGATTATAAACGAGAAGAATTCAGAACCTAATCCTTCACTTTCCTTAAGAGTGAATCCAACATGACGAGTTGGAAGTTTACTACAATGATCCCCACCTGCAGTTACGTCTTCATGTAAAACCCCTATTTACATTCCAGCAGAGCACGAGGAGAGGTTGTGATTGACTTGGCTTTAATTGTATTTTGCTGTCTGACTGAAACATATAGCACTTAGATCTTTTTCAGATTTTTTATTGTGTTAGATGTCCTCATTGTTAGGTACAGCAATTGTGAGTGTGAGTAGAAGGTTGCAGGGGGCAGTTATTTCCATATTCGTCCATTTGACGTTTCATTGCAATATGCTCTGCAGTGTATTGAAAGGTGTGGAAAATAAGAGCTTTATTCAATCAATAAAAGTTGAAAACATGGGACTTAAACCCCGCTCAGAGTACAAGAACTGAATTCTTCAGGCTTCAGGGGTACTGAAATGTTTCCTTCCGTGTTTGTGTTTCAGATGAGAATCGTGTGCAAAGATGTGACTGCTGAGATGTTGTATGATGTCCTCCATGACACCAGTTATCGTAAGAAGTGGGACGCCAACATGATTGAAACGTATGACATCGCCAGGCTGACGGTCAACGCTGACGTGGGATATTACTCTTGTCAGTTACATCACCTCTCACAGCTCTTTACTGGGAATGTAAAATACTGTTAGTCAGATAGACTTTCCTGGAAACACAGCTATAATAATAATAATAGTAATAATTATAATAGATTTTTTTTTCATTTATGTTTTGTGCTTTTCGAAGCAGCCAAGGACACCTTACAGCAGTATGCATGGGTCAAACATACCAAAGTAAATGTGGAATATGGAACATTGTAGCCCTCCCACTGTCCTAATGGGTGTGACCCCACGAGGAAAGTTGACCATTGAGCAGGATTGATGGTTTATCCCTTGGGTCCATGTGGCAGGGGTGAGGAGTGAGCACCACCTCACCCCTGCCACGTGGACCTCAAGGGATAAACCATCAATCCTGCTCAATGGTCAACTTTCCTCATGGGGTCACCCATAAAGACAGTGGGAGGGTTAATAAAAAGCTATGGTTAAAAAAATAATACCTCCACGGGTGTTTAGAGGTGTGCATAATTACTGTACAATTTTCCTTTAAAAGCTATATTTAAAGAAAAGAATAATCAAGTTTTGATTTTGTCTGACATGACACTGGGCTTATGATCACATCTACCAGCCACTAGAGGGCACTGTTGCGCTAAAAAGTCCGCTCGGCGAGGCTGGGACTGTGAAAAATGGCAGACTTAACAAGGTTATTCTGGGCCCAGATAAAGTACTAACAGTAACTACGGTTGTAAAAGAAACTTATTTGGAGAAATTATTCCTTACCCTGTACGATGTGTCACTGGACATGGTGCTGGCTGGTCACTTAACATGTCACAAGTGAACCAACACCCGGACGTGTCATTTGGAATCGTAGGACGACCAAGGAAGGTTGCGGCTGTATTGCCTCTGATTGGCTGAAATGGCTCTTCTACGATTGGCTATTTCATGTAAGAGGAAACTGCTGTGTTCCCTCGCTCCAGGGATTTTATGTTTACAGCCAGATCTTGATGAGTTTTTTTAAGCAAATGTGAACTCACTGGTATATTAACCATTCTGTCCTCTTTTGCAACAAACCGGTTTAAGTTTTTAAATTTTTTTTATAACAGACCCCCCCCCCCCCCCCCCCCCCAAATAACATCAGTTGTGAGCTTGTAATAAATCTTGTTGCATTTTATCCCACTGTTAGACTGACTTTATATTTGTTGGCTCTATTGGGGTTACCTTATTATTTAATGATTAGGAAGAAGAAGAAGAAAATATCATTTCTATAGCGCCTCTCAAGATAAAAATCACGAGACGCTTCTCAAAAACAAAACAAAAAAGTAAAAATATAAAAAAGCATTTAGAAAAGGCTCTTATGTCTGCACTATAATAGGTTAAGGCTGCTTGAGCACATTTCTCAGCATCTGATTAAATGTGTAGCAAAATTTAATTCAAAGTTGATTAAAATTTAGACCTATTTTTCACCAGTTTACATTATTCTAGAAGAGAAACAGACCAGCTGCTGGGCAAAATAGGTCAGTTTTATTATATTTCATACCCAGGTAAGGCACACATGTATATCCTATTTACTCTGCTGCAGTGGCGGGCGGTGCATTCCACCCCTGCGCCTTCAGTGATTTCCTATTCAATCCAATCTACAGGTGCTGGCCAGTAAATTAGAATATCATCAAAAGGTTGAAAATATTTCAGTAATTCCATTCAAAACGTGAAACTTGTACATTATATTCATGCAATGCACACAGACCAATGTATTTCCAATGTTCATTACATTTAAATTTGATATTCATAAGTGACAACTAATGAAAACTCCAAATTTGGTATCTCAAAAAATTAGAATATTCTGAAAAGGCTGAATATAGAAGACACCTGCTGCCACTCTAATCAGCTGATTTACTCAAAACACCTGCAAAGGCCTTTAAAAGGTCCCTCAGTCTTGTTTTGAAGGCACCACAATCATGGGGAAGACTTCTGACTTAACAGCTGTCCAAAAGACAATCATTGACACCTTGCACAAGGAGGGCAAGACACAAAAGGTGATTGCTAAAGAAGCTGGCTGTTCGCAGAGCTCTGTGTCCAAGCACATTAACAGACAGGCGAAGGGACGGAAAAAATGTGGTAGAAAAAAGTGTACAAGCTCTAGGGATAACCGCACCCTGCAGAGAATTGTGACGACAAACCCATTCAAAAATGTGGGGGAGATCCACAAAGAGTGGACTGCAGCTGGAGTCAGCGCTTCAAGAACCACCACGAGGAGACTCATGAAAGACATGGGATTCAGGTGTCGCATTCCGTGTGTCAAGCCACTCTTGAACAAGAAACAGCGCAAGAAGCGTCTCGCCTGGGCCAAGGACAAAAAGGACTGGACTGATGCTGAGTGGTCCAAAGTTATGTTTTCTGATGAAAGCAAGTTCTGCATTTCCTTTGGAAATCAAGGACCCAGAGTCTGGAGGAAGAGCGGAGAAGCACAGAATCCACGTTGCATGAGGTCCAGTGTAAAGTTTCCACCGTCAGTGATGGTGTGGGGTGCCATGTCATCTGCCGGTGTTGGCCCACTCTGTTTCCTGAGGTCCAGGGTCAATGCAGCCGTCTACCAGGAAGTTTTAGAGCACTTCATGCTTCCTGCTGCTGACCAACTTTATGGGGATGCAGACTTCACCTTTCAACAGGACTTGGCACCTGCACACAGTGCCAAAACCACCAGCACCTGGTTCAAGGACCATGGTATCCCTGTCCTTGATTGGCCAGCAAACTCGCCTGACCTTAACCCCATAGAAAATCTATGGGGTATTGTGAAGCGGAGGATGCAATACGCTAGACCCAACAATGCAGAGGAGCTGAAGACGACTATCAGAGCAACCTGGGCTCTCATAACACCTGAGCAGTGCCACAGACTGATCGAGTCCATGCCACGCCGCATTACTGCAGTTATTGAGGCAAAAGGAGCCCCGACTAAGTATTGAGTGCTATACATGCACATTCTTTTCATGTTCATTCTTTTCAGTTGGCCAACATTAGAGAAACAAACATTTTTTCATTGGCCTTTAGAATATTCTAATTTTCTGAGATACCAGATTTGATGTTTTCATTGGTTGTCACCTATAAATATCAAAATTAAACGTAATAAACATCGGAAATACATTGGTCTGTGTGCATTGCATGAATATAATGTACAAGTTTCACGTTTTGAATGGAATTACTGAAATATTTTCAACCTTTTGATGATATTCTAATTTACTGGCCAGCACCTGTAAATTAATACACCTTAAAATACCATCAATATGACATCACAGCTGGAGAAACCTCTCTCTTTCACTCTCTCTCTCTCCCACACACACGTGACGCACACACACCAGTGCTGGTCAAGACATGTAATTTCCGGAGCCTTTGAAATCAAACTCGCATTCCCAATTGAGGGTAGGAAGCTAAGACCACAGATACTGTCAAATCTCAAAAATGAAAGACAGGTTTAAGAGATGAGACAATAAAATAAATAAGTAAAGCAAACACATTTGCATTTGTTTAGGAGAAAATGGCACCGCGAAACAATGTGGGCGCAGCTGCGCACACCACGTTGTACACAATATTAATTGCATAAACAGAATAATTTCATTTAGCCATTTTATTTCGTTACCATTTCTTGATTATTAACGAAATAAAATGACAAAACATAAAAAAATACTAATAAAATGTTTCTACTCACCAACATAAATGTCCAGCATGGATCTCCTCCTCTCCTGCTCATTTGAAAATAAAATCCATCCTTCTTTCTCTCCTCAGGAAAACCTCAATGGCTCTGTCATACAGTTTATCTGTGCGCTTCAGGTCCATGAGTAGAGCCTTTTCTATGGACATGGAGGCTAATGCTGAAAGTCGTGTCTGTCCGGTCGTGTTTCTGGCGTACGTTTTTACGCGCTTTAATGCTGAGAATGAGCGCTCAACAGAGGCAGTGGACACCGGGATAGTCACAGCCAAACAGGCCAGTGCGTAAAGTTGTCCCATACTCTCACTCAGGTTTTTGCTGAGAAGAAAATCGTGTAGATCAGCGGGACTTTTTCCTTCAAAATCAGCCATAGCATACATTACAGTCAGTTCTGTTTTAAGTCGGGGAAGATCAAACAGTGGTCCGTGGCTCTGTGTTAAGCTGGAGAAGGCTGCTGTCGGGAATTTTTTTCTGTATGTCTGAAAGTGCTGGGGGTCAAGAAGGGAGAGAAACATCAACATTTCATGGTCCTGAAATCGATTCCTTGTCTGGGAAAGAATGTTGTCCAGAATGCTGTTGTGGAGTTTTTGGTAATGTGCACGGAGATCACCTTGCGCCGTGCGTTGGCCTCTGCGCACACTTGGACCACCGGAGGCGCGCATTGCTTCTTCATATATCTCACTGAAATTGCCCCTCTCTTGCTCAACTTTGTCACAAAACTCGTTCAGCCTGGCCATGCAGAATTGCACATCCAATGATTTGGTCTGCAGTATTCCAAAAAGCACATCAGCATACTCAAAAAGCCCATTGAATGTGTTGAGCAAAAAAAAAAACTCAAAATCGTCCAGCCGTGCGTTAAATCCATCTGCAGAAAGCACGGTGTCCTCATCATACTCGTCGTGATGGTCCAATATGTGACCAAACAACTCCTTTAGAGCAACTCGATTCTCAAAGACTGCATTCACCAGTCTTGATGAATATTGCCACCGTGTTGGCGCAACACGAGGAAGACGCCGTTTGCACACATCATCCAGCAACTGTGTGCGCTTCGGGGATCTGGAGAAAAACGCAGCGAGGCCATTCAGATTGGCAAAAAAGACCTTGCACTCTTTAAGCTTTGAGGCCCCTTGAGTCAGCACTAAATTAAGACGATGTGCATAACAGTGAATGAATAAGGTCATAGGTGCCTTTTCCTTAACTTTAGCCTGCACCCCGTTTAGTCCAGATGCCATCACCGCTGCACCATCGTAACACTGTGCAACAACTTTGTCCAAACAGCATTCATATTCCTCAAGAATACGGAAAATAAGCGCGGCAAGGTCATCAGCTCGCCTGCCACTAGTTACATCCACAAATTTGACAAAACGATCCTTGACACCTGTGGCTGTCACATAGCGCAGGACGAGTGCCAGTGCCACGTTACCCACGTCTGTGGTTTCATCAACCATGACGGCGACAAAAGGGGATCTTCTGATCTCTATTTTGATCTCACCTCCCATCACTTCTGCAATAGCATAAATGAGGTCATTTTGTATTCTGCCTGATGTCCCAGTAAAGACCCTGTTGGTGGTCAGGTGGTAATGCAAGTCGGCGTCATGTTCAGCAAGAAAAGATATGCTCCGCATAATTCCCTCTTTTTAATGACTGGGGGTTTTCATCATGTCCCCTAAATGAAAGTTCTTGTTTACCCAAAAATATGACACAATCCATCAGCCTTTTCAATATCTCCCTATTTTTCTTCACCTTTTCGTTGTGGAGCTCCGTGTCCTTGCGCGCCTGTTCACTGAGCTGCAGATCCACTCGGGTGTCCCCAAAGGTTTTTAAAAGCACCGTAGCTTGTAAGTGGCCAGCCGTGCTTTGGTGTCTCTTTGCTGCCTTGGTGAAACAACTTAAATTGGCAAATCCAGTAAAACTCCAAATACCAAATCGATCTGATGCGAGCAACAGGCATTCCCAGCAGAATAACCTGCAGCGGTTCTCTGAAGCTGTTAGCCATGGGTACCGTTCATAGTTGCTTGCCTGAAAATGACGAACAAATCCTTTCCCCTGCTGGGACAAGCCAGCTAGCATTGGAGTCGGACGACCTGTTCTCACAAGATCCATTTTTTCTTGAAAGGTCCGTCTTGAAAATGGTGTGGCAAGTAAATCTGCCACCAAGTCCGTCCCTTCTCCTCTTTCAGCCATCATTTGTACAAAAATACACCGATAGCTGCCTATCTCCGTGTTTAGTTTTGATATTTTGCTTCATGCCGCTAGAAAAGTTCAAACTACTGCTTATCCAATCACAGGATGCGTTCATGTCAACTTTTGCGTGAGGCCAGCTAGCTGGCCCGGGCCAAGCTGACTCGTGAGCTGATTGGCTATCGCAACTGGCTCGTCTCTGTTCACTTACAGCGGACAGCGGGCTTCTCGATTGAGTCTGAAGGCCTAGAGCAGACCTGCCTGAAAACACAAGCTAGCTTAAATCTGATTGGATAACACCCAACCTTGGTATTTAAACACTAGAAGCAGCGCAACCAAGTGGGTATAATAGGATAAAAAGAAAATTGACCAGTGAACATATTTTTATTGAAAAAATATTTACCAAAGGAAAAAAAATACATTTACGTTTTTGAGTAAGTTTAGGCCAGCAGAGAAGGCTTTGCTGGCCCTGACTGCCCACCACTGCTCTGCTGTAATAAGATAACCTCAGCGCTTGAGAGCCAAGTGATGTCAACGGTATGATAAATGCAACAATATTTATCATAAGGTTTACATTTGATCTTCTTTAAATAAATAAAACACAAAAAACATTTTGCAAACAGTACAGAAAGGATAGAAGGACCGTAGACGTATAGGGAGCCTAAGTCACTTCCGGACCATTGGTTCCCGGATGAACGAAAAAATGAATGCAAGTCAATGGGGCTAAAAATGCTATTTTCTAATTCCGCTTGTTTTGTGCCATGGATTTCACATATGATGTCCGTGAATTTTAAAGCCGCATTTTGATACTAAGAACGCACTTATTTTTGAACGGAGGCAACGATATTTGAGTTTTTTTGTGAAAATAAGTTCAGGACTACAAATGTGCTTCACGGAAGTGATGCCATCAAACCAGACACGGAGAAAACTGAGGGAAAAGGGCTGTAAGTTCAGCAAACTTCCCACAGGAGGAAAGAACCACCATAAATCTGGTCATTTGGTAAGTAGTAGCTACTTTGTGGAGAAGAGATTATGTGGTGACGTCACATACGCGACTTGCCGATTTCTAGTTCGTAGTCGTGCTAGTTACAAACTTTTACAAGCTAATAAATCTCTAAGTACGTGACTGGCGAGGTCGAAACACCCATCAATAGTTTTCATTTAAATTGCAGTACAACATATGATCCAGGGCGTAAGGCAAAGCGGATTAGAAAATGGTGTTTCTAGCCCTGTTGACTTGCATTCATTTTTTCGTTCTTCTGGGTACCCATGATGCAGAAGTGATTTAGGCTCCCTATATGTGAGGAGGACAGGCTGCACTTAAGAGAGGGAAGATGGTTTGCCTGTAAATGAAATAGCCAATCGTAGTAGAGCCCTTCTAGCCAATCAGAGGCGAGAAAGGCAGGATCTTCCTTGGACATCCTACAGTTTCAAATAACACCACCCGGAAGGCCGGAAACTGTTTTCTGTTACCACCTCTACCACCTGTAAACACTAGATGTTGCTAGAGTGTCCGTGTTCCATATTCAAACTTTAACAGCCTTCATTGGTGACCGATACTTTTAACCTTGTTTTTAACCTGTTCAATAAAACATTTAACACTTAATATTTCTAGACACTTTATTTCTAGAAAATAAACAAGTTACAATACCATATTGTTATGGTCAGATGTTGTATCATAAAGTAGCATAAATGGGCAAAAAAAATCTTGCGTCACATGTAGCAAAATCAGGTATCCACCTTAACACTAAGCACTTCTTCTCTTCTCTCTCATACTTCCCTTATCCTATCCTGCCCCCTAGTGGTAGACACTACACATACCATACCTACCTTGTATTTATTTATATATATGTATTCAATGGCGGAGAACTACGAGTTTTACTCATCGCTATTCATGGTAAGCTCATCTGCAGCTAATGCAGGCAATGACATTTGAAGGAAATTTTCAATTTCAGCATCCAGGACTCCGTAAACAATCCTATTTGGAAAAAGAACTAGTATAATATGCTTCTCAGTAAATAAGACCTTTAACATTATGTTTATCTATTTGGCAGGTGCTTTTATCCAAATCCACACCAAGGACTTTGTGAATTGTTTGTGTTGTGTTACCATATATGTAACATTGTCATACTGTTGTGTTTGTTTACTTTAAAGGGAAGTGTCCCAGTCCTTTGAAGAACAGGGACTTTGTGACGATGAGGTCTTGGCTCCCACTTGGTAACGACTACATGATCATCAACTACTCTGTCAAACACCCGGTCAGTTTCCAGCAGTTCTTGAGTCTTGTCAGATTCTGTAAATGAGATGTTTTAATGGTTTATGATAAACAATAATAATCAATTTTATGTAGTGATTTTCAAGGCACCCAACGAGCTTGCCATTGACACACTCATACATTCACACACTGCTGGTGATGGTAAATTACGATGTAGCCACAGTTGCTCTGGGGCGGTCTGACAGAAGCAAGGCTGATATGTTGTGCCATCGACGCCACTCATCACCACCAGCATAAGCAACTCAGATGAAGTGTCTTGCCCAAGGGCACAACAACAGAAGTCCCTGGAGGGAGCTGGGATCAATTAAGCATCCCTTCATCTCACCTTTGATTTCACTGTTCTTTCATTGATAAAAGTTTTGAAAAGAAGCTGAAAGTGAAGAACAAGCATCAGCTAACATGACTTGACTCAATAGCACATCCTGTTTATGTATCTCCATAGCAACACCCTCCAAAGAAGGACTATGTCAGAGCTGTGTCTCTCTTGACGGGTTACCTGATCCAATCCAGTGGTGCTACAAGCTCCACCCTTTACTACCTGACGCAGGTGGACCCCAGAGGTGAATTAGACACCCAGGACACACACACACACACACTCAAACACACATCTGGAACTAAAACATAAAATAGCCCTGTAATCCTAAGAGTAAAAATGATAATGGGACTTCTCTGGGCCATCTTTCTGGAAGATGTTTCACCTCTCATCCAAATGTTTTTTTCAGTTCTGACCAAGGGGTCAGGAGTAAGGATGTCTCGATCAGGTTTTTTTTGGCCCTCAAGTCAGTCATTTGATTTTGAGAATCTGCCGATACCGAGTCCCGATCAGATACTTTCGATACACAAAATAAATAAATAAAGAAAGAAAGAAAGAAAGAAAGAAAAGGAAGAAACAATTCCAGAATGTTCCATATTTTTTATTTTATTACCTTTTTATTTTAATTTTTAACAAATCACTTCTGTGAGGTAGCTTGAACAGTCAAGTAATAAATAACATCAATTATTCAATTCAATTCAATTGAAAATTGAATTGTATCAACTATATAAATACTACATGCTGATAAAATATTGCTTTATACAGGTACAAACATGTAGTGGGATCAATCTACCTACATTTGATTTTTTTAAGAACTTTGTTTTGTTTTCTTGGTTTTTATTTTCCCATCTTCCTGTCCTGTCTGTCTCTGATCTTCCTGCATCTCCCAGTCCTCCAGGAAAAACTCCTGCCTGCTTCCTTCTTTTTCACCTCACAAGTAACTTTTTAACTAGCAGATCAAATTGATCTATTGACTGCAAAAAAAGCGGAGTGTACGCTGCGCCAGTGACGAGCACTGCAGCGCGAGCGCGTCCACAAGTCATGCTCAAATATAGACAGAACTTACCAGAGAGAAAATGAACGGACACGCATGACCGTGTGTTAATTATACATTTTTTGGTGACACCACTTAGAAACTTAGAAAATGTTACTGTGGCCATGTGCAGAACGCAGCTGGAGTTCATGAATAATCAGCCGTCTGCCTGCCGCTCTCTGCATCTCTGCTCAAAAGAATCCCTGCTACGCTGAGTCCATATAAATAATATAATATAGGTAGAAACTGGATCTTTTTTGTGCTCCTTCTGGGTGTGTAAGCTAAGGGCATCAGCGGAGCCTGACAACCTTTAAGGAGAACCAAGTTGCTCTCCTGTAATTTGAACCCAGTATTTGAGTCCGGATCGGGGCTTGGATCGGGAAGTAAAGCCCAAGTCCCGAATAGAGTCTGAAACCACGTGATCGGGGCCGATTTCTGAGCATGTGATCAGATTGGGACATCCCTAGTCAGGAGTCCTATCCTTATAAGTCTATGAAGAACATCACACACTAATCAGTGCTGTTAAAGTCAGTTCTGCCTTGACAACCAGTCACCTTTGATTCAGGGAAGATTCGATCTATTCACATGTTTGACTCAATGAGAAGAATTCTTCAAGTGATAAAGACCCTAACAACTTATTTGACCAAATGACTTGATTTGTCCTACAGTGATGTAAACAGCCTGAAATCCCAACTCATGATCAGAACTGAGAAATATCTTCAAGCAGGGTGGGAACACCAGTTGTGTTTTTAGATATTTGTTACTTTTTAGGATGACCATCTCTTGGACCATCCTACACACTTGGAATATTTAGGACCAGGTGCTCTCATGATGCAACACATCATTTCTTTCTGAAAAACAGTTTTGTGAAAGAGATGATAAGGAGATGCTGATTCTGTCCCCCTCCTGTTTGTTGTTTTCTCTTGTCTTCTGGTGCCCTCTGCAGGCTCATTACCAAAGTGGGTTGTGAACAGAGTCTCCCAGTTTGTGGCTCCAAAGGTGAACATCTGATTGATTCCTCTGGCACATTCTATCTATGTTCCATGTCTCACAGTGTCTCTGGTCCTGTCTTCTCAGGCCATGAAGAAGATCTACAAGGCATCTCTGAAATACCCGGAGTGGAAACGGAAACACAATCCGACACTGAAGCCATGGATATTTCCGGAGCAGAACACATTGCCGACCATCAGCTTGTCAGAGCTGACGCTGCAGCATGCGGAGTCTCTAGAGAAAATTGATGAGAGTTGTGTGAGTGAAGAAAAGACTGTCAACAGCGATGATGAGGAGATCTAAACGTCTTCCAAAGTCTCAGCTAGAGCACCTTTGTCTCATTTTCTGTTTCTAATTTCTTTAATGAGACAAAGTGAAACTAAAAATGTACAACTGACGGCAGACACGTCATGCTCCTACAGTTTCTCACACGTTCAGGTTTTGAACTTCACATGTTCACCCAATTTGACTTTTCACCATCTGTCCAATGGCTGTCCAGGGAATGCCCACTGACTATTCACTGGACATCCAGTATCCACTAATAAGTATTCTAGAATCTTAAACAAGATCTTTCATTCTGATAAATCTATTAAATTGTAGAAACTCTCTGCGTCTGATATTTCTGGTAACTGATTAGTAAGTGTTGGGATTTTATGTTGGAGAATTTGATGAACTAGTTGAACTTTCTGTTGATGCAGAGCAGGTTTTGTCTTCTTGAACAGAAATTTTGTTAAAATTGTTAAACTGAACAAATCAATGTGTGTGATCAATAAAGCTTCCCTGAGACCCTTGCATTGTGTCCCTTTCCCTGTGTCTCTGAGACCCTGTGTCTGTGACTGTGTCCGAGTCCTCGAGTTAAAGGCTGTGTCAGCTTTATGGCGTCAGAATTCCGCCATATCTTGTGCACGCGTATTGTCCACATCATGCATGCGAACGGGATTCGCACGTGGAAGTTAGAACCTCCACGAGTGAAGATATACATGGCGAGGAGGTTATTTGAGAGGGAGCAAACTGTGTGAGCGCACAAGGATGTGAACAAGTAACAAACCTGCATGCGCGCGTTGGCCAACGAGCACACAGCATATGGAAAGCTAAAACCGCCGAAATACGCCACTTTCCCAACCCGTCTAGTTAAGAGATGACAAAAAAAAAACCCGTTTGATGTGTCAAGACGTCGTAAAATATGGCAAACTCTCCCAGAACGCCGTATTTGACGCCAGCCAGAGCCGTTCGTAACGGTCCCGTAGAAAACCCGTAAAAAACGCTGTTTTTTTCTGGACATTGAACGCCGTTTTTTTACGTCACCTGAATCCCAGACGCGTTCCCTGTGTGGGTGGCGTAAAAAACGGCGTTTGTACGGACATTGAACGCTGCTTTTTTCGCCGCTCTGTGACATAAAACGCCGCTTTTAACGCCACTTTGTGACAGTTTTCACACGTTTAAAATTCAACTTTACTCTCATTCATGCAGAGCCCTCCCCATGGGTTTCTCATCCACTTAATTTAAACTCCAGTGACCCAATGAAAGAAGAGGTTGAGGCAGCATTAATTCATCCCAGATTCGCCGGGCTGAGTCCAGCTGGAACATCAGTGCTCTTTCTGTCCAAAACTCCCTTCTTCTTAAGCTCATCCACTTTGAGTATTTACTATTGTTTTTTATTTATTTATTTTTTTTTTTTTTTACTATTATACTTGTCTTACAGGAGCTTCTGAAAATGTTCTGTCTTGCTTCTCCATCATCACTCTCCAGATCCTCAGACCAGCCACTCCAGAACCTTCCCAGATCCAGGATCAGAGCACTTGAATTAAAGTTTGAAACATGTCTGCTTGTTGTTCTCTTATAGAAGCATTAAACTAGAATTTGCTACTGAGCTTTCTTGGCTAAAATATGCTCTTGAATGTTTTTATTTACATAAATATTTCAAGAAAAACGTTTTTCTTTGCTGCTTCACCAAGACATGACTCTGAAAATGTCCTCATGATCCTGAAACGTTGGTTAAAACAAATTACCTTCAACCTCTTATAAAACAAACGTGTCTGTTGATGATTATGCCCACTACAATACTGAAGCACCTGCTTACTTGCTACCGATTTGCTAACTTTCTGTAATATTTTGATATTTAAGTTGAAAACATGAACTGCTGTAACACAAATTTCAAATGTAGATGAGCACTTGTTTCTAATCAACTAATCATTATTTCTGTGACTAGTCAGCTTTTTTCTTTTCAATAAACACATGGAAAAATTACAATTATCTTACTGAAAAAATGGTTTAACAGTGTTGCACATGTATAATAATCTGCACTGGTTTTGACAGTTACGGCATTCTTCAAACTATAATAATAAAATAAAGTGAAAAGTTATTTACAGTTGATTACTTCAAGTTTCTACTATTTACATGTTATGCATCGATACTGTAAATGGCTGTTTACTAAGGCATACAAAGTCAGTCTGGGATTAGGGTGACGTAAAAAACGGCGTTCAATGTCCTTCTACGGGACCGTTAAGAACGGCTCTGGCTGGCGTCAAATACGGCGTTCTGGGAGAGTTTTTGCCTTATTTCACGACGTCTTGACACATCAAACGGCGTTTTTTTTCCCGCTATCTCTTAACTAGACGGGTTGGGAAAGTGGCGTATTAGTGGCGGTTATGGCTTGCCATACATGAGAGCAGCCCGACGCAGCTGCTCCATGTGCGCCTTCTTCCTGTCTGCTTCTGTCACATCGCCGTCTGAAGGGGACAAGAGTCAGGAGGGTTAAATGGTTGATGATCTCTGTCCTTATCCAATACAATAAATAAACATTACTGTAATGCACTGGAGTGATCTGTGGTGGTATATACTTCTTGCTACTTGGGTGGGCTGCTTTCATATCACTGGTTGATTTGTTTCCTGCTTCGTCTTCAGACTCTGACTCACCCAGCTAGATGAACATTTATCATTCAGTTTTTGCCTCATCACCACAAAATAATCCAAACAAGATAAATATGGCCGCAGTGCCTCATAAGGGGGAGCTTACTTTGTTGACGAGGTTCTCAGGATTTGGACGCAGCTGCAGCGGGTCATTTTCAGCTGAAAACCGTTAATCCTCAGTCACATCCATTCTAATCTGAGGTTTCAGGTAGAGGAAACGACTCAGGGTCTTACCTAAGCTACCAGTGACAGCTGTACGCAGCAGTTTGTCAATCTAGTACTTCAGTTTGTGATCCAAGGGTCGCATTTTCTCCAAAACCTTTAAGAGTACAGAGTTAAAGCCCTTGTTTTTGAACAGGTAAGCTGGAGTGGTTCCTCAGACGTACAAACTCACGGTTCTGATTGTGACCACCCGGCTCAAAGCATCGCTGTCTTTGATTTTGCCTCCCTGCATCTTGATGTACATCAGGTGAGTGAGGTCCTGAAGATAGAAGAGCAGCAGATGAAGATCCAAGAAGGACAAACCCTGCAGGGCGAGATGTTAGATGGGTCAAATGTACACAAAAACCTCCTTGCAGATTAAGATGGGCCTTTTCTTACCTTGGAGGTCTTAAACGCGCCATCTTTAACTTTGGTGAGCAGCTCACGGACTGGCTGGTGACTGAGACGACCTGAAATTAAACCCAGAATGGAGCAATCTGATTATAACTAATAAATAGTAACGCACGTCCAACTCCGCTGTTTTCGCCTCACTGATGTTCGGTAACTTTCCCCTCATTTTGCGGTTGAACAGGAGTTCTGCTGGGCTTTTGCCCGTGGTTGGATGTTCAATGCTGCGATACACTGTTACATATTTTCTTAACTCTCGCTTCCAGTCAAGACCTGCCGCTTGTGCGATCCTGATTCTTTTCATCAGTGATGCATTTTGGCGTTCCACTTCCCCATTTGCTTGAGCCCATTTTGGTGTAGTTCTTATATGTTTAATTCCATTAGTCTCACAATATTTCCCGAACAGCTCAGATTTGAACTGTGGGCCGTTATCAGATTTGATGGTAACTGGTAGCCCATGTCTGCTAAATATACAGTCAATAGAGTCAATGACCTTTTCAGCAGTTGTAGATGACATCACCTCATACTCATAATATCGACTGTAGTAATCTACCAGTACGAGTATCGAGTGGTTTGAAGGTAGCGGTCCCAGTAAGTCTACCGCCACATCTCGCCAGGGCCCATCCGGTAAAAGTGTATTTCTCAGTGGCTCCGGTGGATCCGGTCTGGCTACTATTTGACATCCGTGACAAGCTTTACAGAATTTTTCTACAGCTTTGTCCATCCCTGGCCACCAAACTTTTGTTCTGAGATGCTGCTTGGTTCCAACGATTCCTAAATGTCCTTCATGAGCTAGTGACAGCGCTTGAGCTCTGAGGTTTTCTGGCAATATAATGCGAGTTCCCCGCAAGACTATGTAGCCAATGACACAGAGTTCATTTGCAATGGGCGCGTATGCTTTGCATTTTTCAAAGTGTCCATTGTCAATAGCTCTTCGCACTTCTGTTAATTCTGAGTCTGTAGCAGAGACTTCTTCAACCTCTCTTGTTGTGAGTGCTTTTGGAGTAGCATTAACTGCCACAAATCTCACATATTCCTCAGATTCATGCTTGTGTACCTCTTTTGACGTGGTATCAGAGAGCAGTCTTGACAATGAATCCGCAATGTTTTGTTTTCCCGCAATGTGTACTACTTTATAATCATATGGCTGCAGTCGTAGAACCCATCTTTCTATGCGTGCACAAGGTTTAGATCTCGGACTGTATATGACCTCTAAGGGCTTGTGGTCTGTGATGAGGTCAAACTTCCTGCCATATACATACGGATGTAGTCTCTCACATGCCCATACCAGTGCTAGAGCTTCTTTCTCTGTTTGAGAGTATCTTCGCTCACAGTCTGTTAGACTCCGACTTACATAGCACACTGGTACTTCTTCTCCATTCTGTGTTTGTATTAACACTGCGCCTAGGCCTACAGGGCTTGCATCTGCTATGACACGAGTTGGGGCTTCTTTGTCAAAATATGCTAGAGTACCTGCTCTAGCTAACTCAGCCTTTAGTCTTTCGAACACTTGCTTTTGTTCTGGCCCGAATGTAAACATCACTTCCTTTCGAGTTAAACGTCTAAGCGGCTCAGAGAGTGTAGCAAACTGTGGTATGAACCTACTACTGAAACCGACCAGTCCAAGAAAGCTTCTCACCTCAGTAGCATTCTTTGGTTCTCGGGCTTCCACCACAGCTCTCACTCTTTCTTCAGTTGGGCCGATGCCTTTCTGCGTAAGCAGTATTCCCATGAACACAAGTCTGTCCATGTTGAACTGACATTTCTCTGCGTTTAGTGTCAGGCCACAGTCAGAGAGTCTCTTCATCACAGCATGCAGGCGCTTGTCATGGGCTTCCTGGTCTGGTGCATGTATGATTACATCATCTGAAATGTTCTCAACTCCTTCAATACCAGCTAGTGCATTGGCGATCTCATGCTGATATTGCTCACTAGCTGATGAGACTCCAAATATCAGCCTTTTGTATCGGTATACCCCGTTATGCACTACAAATGTAGTTATCTCTCTTGACTCCGGGGTAAGCTCTAGTTGATGATATCCCCACTTGAGATCGAGTTTGCTGAAGATTGCAGATCCGTTTAGTCCTTGCAAGATTTCATCCACCGTGGGTATGGGGTATCTTTCCCTGATTATTGCCTCATTTGCTTTTCTCATGTCTAAGCACATTCTGATATCTTTGTCACCTTTCTTTGGAAGCACCACTACAGGGTTTACCCAAGGTGTAGGTCCTTCCACACGTTCTATGATGTCCATGTCAATCAGTTCATTGATC